CGGCCACACCCCAAGCCCCAGGTCACCTGGCTGAGCACACGGGCTCTGCCCCCTGCCCTGCCCCCCCCAGCCGGCCCGGCACTCCCGCCCGGGAAACAGGGCCCCTCGTGTCCACGGAGGCCCTGAGCTCCAGCCCTCACAGCGGCGTCCCAGGTCAGGAAGGAAGGACGTCGGGCGTGACCTCCCTGTCAGACGCCCCAGACCCTCCCGTCCTGGCCGCCCTCAGCAGACCGACCGCAGTTCTCACAGGTCAGAGGTCAGCAGATGGATGAATGCAGATTCTCCCCTAGATTCCTCTCCCCTCTGGAGGACCCCCTGCAGCCCCGCCCAGTGGTCCCCAACCAGGTGCTCCGTCCCCAGGGGGAGAGAGGGCCAGGTGCCTTTCTGGAGACCTTGGTGGGGAAAGTGCTAAACTTCCCATAATGCACAGGACAGCCCCGCCCCCACCGCGGAGACTTGTGGGCCCCGAAGGTCACCGTCCCCACGGCGCAGGGGGCCCCGGCCTTGTGGCAGGCCCCCTCTAGGAGCTGCTAGGGTCCTGTGGGAGGAGGGGGCCAGGGACACAGGTGCCCCTCCCGTCCCCCTGCCTGGGGAGCCCCACTCCCCCGCGGGCAGGCCCCTCCCCCGCGGCGGCTCCTTGGAAAGCAGAACCAGCAAGAAAGGGAACTGCCTGGTGGGGGACCCCCTCGGCCCCGTGACACCGTCCCCAAAGGGAGCCCCGAGGAGGCGTGGAAAACACCTCTAGCTGGCCGACCGCGCACACACACCTCACACCTCACACCGCACACCTCACACCTCACACCTCACACCTCACACCTCACACCTCACACCTCACACCTCACACTTCACACCTCACACCTCACACCTCACACCTCACACCTCACACCTCACACCTCACACCTCACACCTCACACCTCACAGTTCACACCTCTCGCCTCACACCTCATACACCTCACACCTCACACACCTCACACCTCACACCTCACACCTCACACCTCACTCTTCACACCTCACACCTCACACACCTCACACCTCACACCTCACACTTCACACCTCACACCTCACACACCTCACACCTCACACCTCACAGTTCACACCTCACACCTCACAGTTCACACCTCACACCTCACACCTCACACACCACACACCTCACACCTCACACCTCACACACCTCACACCTCACACACCTCACACCTCACACACCACACACCTCACACCTCACACTTCACACACCTCACTCTTCACACACCTCACACCTCACACCTCACACACCTCACACCTCACACCTCACACACCTCACACCTCACACCTCACACCTCACACACCTCACACCTCACACCTCACACCTCACACCTCACTCTTCACACCTCACACCTCACACACCTCACACCTCACACTTCACACCTCACACCTCACACCTCACACTTCACACACCTCACACCTCACATCTCACACACCTCACACCTCACACCTCACTCTTCACATCTCACACCTCACACTTCACACACCTCACACCTCACACACCTCACACCTCACACCTCAAGCCTCACACCTCACACACCTCACTCCTCACTCCTCACACCTCACACACCTCACACACCTCACACCTCACACCTCACACACCTCACACCTCACACCTCACACACCTCACACCTCACACCTCACACCTCACACACCTCACACCTCACACCTCACACACCTCACACCTCACACCTCACACCTCACACCTCACACACCTCACACCTCACACCTCAAGCCTCACACCTCACACACCTCACTCCTCACTCCTCACACCTCACACACCTCACACCTCACACCTCACACCTCACACACCTCACACCTCACAACTCCCCACACCTCACACCTCACACCCACACTCACACACCTCACACCTCCCACCTCCCACCTCACACACCTCACACCTCACACCTCACACCTCACACTTCACACCTCACACCTCACACCTCACACCTCACACACCTCACACCTCACACCTCACACCTCACACACCTCACACCTCACACCTCACACCTCACACTTCACACCTCACACCTCACACCTCACACCTCACACACCTCACACCTCTCACACCTCTCACACCTCACACCTCACACATCTCACACCTTACACCTCACACCTCACACACCTCACACCTCACACATCTCACACCTCACACCTCACACACCTCACACCTCACACCTCACACCTCACACACCTCACACCTCTCACACCTCACACCTCACACCTCACACACCTCACACATCTCACACCTCACACCTCACACACCTCACACCTCACACACCTCACACCTCACACACCTCACACCTCACACACCTCACACCTCACACACCTCACACCTCACACCTCACACCTCACACACCTCACACCTCACACCTCACACACCTCACACCTCACACCTCACACCTCACACCTCACACACCTTAAACCTCACACCTCACACACCTCACTCCTCAAACCTCACACCTCAACCTCACACACCTCACACACCTCACATCTCACACACCTCACACCTCACACCTCACACACCTCACACCTCACACACCTCACACCTCACACCTCACACACCTCACACCTCACACCTCACACCTCACACCTCACACACCTCACACACCTCACATCTCACACACCTCACACCTCACACCTCACACACCTCACACCTCACACACCTCACACCTCACACCTCACACACCTCACACACCTCACATCTCACACACCTCACACCTCACACCTCACACACCTCACACCTCACACACCTCACACCTCACACCTCACACACCTCACACCTCACACCTCACACCTCACACCTCACACACCTCACTCCTCAAACCTCACACCTCAACCTCACACCTCACACCTCACACCTCACTCTTCACACACCTCACACCTCACTCCTCACAGTTCACACCTCACACCTCACAGTTCACACCTCTCGCCTCACACCTCATACACCTCACACCTCACACACCTCAAACCTCACACCTCACACCTCACACACCTCACTCCTCACAGTTCACACCTCACACCTCACACCTCACACACCTCACACCTCACACCTCACACACCTCACACCTCACAGTTCACACCTCTCACCTCACACCTCACACACCTCACACACCTCACAGTTCACACCTCACACCTCACACCTCACACCTCACACACCTCACACCTCACACCTCACACATCTCACACCTCACTCCTCACAGTTCACACCTCACACCTCACACCTCACACACCTCACACCTCACTCCTCACAGTTCACACCTCACACCTCACACCTCACACACCTCACACCTCACTCCTCACAGCTCTCAGGAGGGGAGGGGCCAGGACTTCGCAGCTGTCTCCCGGGCTGGCAGGCCATCGGCTGTTCCACCAGGTGTGGGGGTGAGGTCAGAGCCGGAGGGGAGGCGGAGGCACAGCTTGGTGGGCTGCAGGTTGGTTGGGTTGGGGTCTCAGGGAACCCTCTCGGGCTGATAGAAACTCAGATATGGCTGCCGGCCAGCTCCGGGCGGACATGGGGCGGTCCCAGCACAGGAACAATGACCCCCGCCAGCACCTCCATCGGGGAAAGCCGCCCGAGTGCCCGCCCGATGCCAGATGATCCAGTTCCTCCCGTGGGTCCCTGGTTCCCCCACACTGGAGCTCAGAGGAAGTGGGGCTGTAAGCTTGTGCTGGCCCTTTAAGAGGAACTGCCTGGGTCCCCCGCAGCCTCCGGGCCACTCGGCCACTCTCCCTGCTGGTTTGGGGGGGCTCCCCTTCCCAGCTCCGCCACCCTGGGCCGGGGCTGGTGTGGGGCTGGGACCCCCGGCCTCTCACAGGAGCCTCCGCAGCCGAGACACCCCTCTGATTACAACGTGGTGCTAGGTCAGCCCGTCTCAGGGCTCTGCCCACCCCCCAGCCTCAGTGCTTTCTTCTTCCTCCCACAGGCAGGACCCATCCGGCCGGCTCCAGGCGGTTCTGGACGAGGTTGTCCGTATTTTGGTTGTAATTTCGATGTGGTTGTGGGAGACGCCGAGTGCTGACAGTCACCTACGCCGACATCTTGGGTCTCCCGGTGGTGGGGCTTTAAATATCGCTTCCGGCCCTCACCGGTGTGTCTCAGTGGGTAGAGCGTCGGCCTGCAGACTGAAGGGTCCCAGGTTCGATTCCGGTCAAGGGCATGCACCTCGGTTGCAGGCACATCCCCAGTAGGGGGTGTGCAGGAGGCAGCAGATCGGTGTCTCTCTCTCAGCGATGTTTCTAGCTCTCTCTCCCTCTCCCTTCCTCTCTGTAAAAAGTCAATAAGATATATTTTTTAAAAAGATAAATCAATATTGCTTCCGTTGACCTTCTAGTCACAGGACCAGCAGGTCAAGCGTCTCCTCTCTCCTGGAAGAGCCTGGTTCCTACATGGTCAGTGCCGTCCGTTTCCAGAAACACGACGTGGCTCTCGCTTCTTCCTGGGAGCCGGTTATTTTTGCGTTTCATGCACATGCAGCGAAAAGGGGTGTGCAGTGGCCGCCCTGCGCCGTGGCGAAGGCAGACTGCGGTGTGTGCAGCAGTGCAGCAGCACACGCGAACGCCCAGCCCCCTCTGCTGGCCTCGGCCTCCTCCACCCCACCCCAGCCGCTGGGCCCCGGGTCTGCGTCCGCTCCGGTGCTGCCTTCTCCAGAATGTCACAGGAACGGGTGACACAGCGGCGGCCTGTTCATGGTGAGGACGCCTCGAGAGCTCCCGGGACCACCAGGCGCCTCCTGGCTCCCGCGCGACATAAGGTGCCCGTTTTCCATTCTCTCTCTTTTATTAAAAATTTTTTAAAATATGTTTTATTGATTTTTCACAGAGAGGAAGGGAGAGGGATAGAGAGTCAGAAGCATTGATCAGCTGCCTCCTGAACACCCCTCACTGGGGATGTGCCGGCAATCAAGGTACACACTCTTGCCTGGAATGGAACCCAGGACCTTTCAGTCCGCAGGCCGACGATCTAGCCGCAGCCACACCGGCTCCGGCTTTCGGTTCTCCTGAGTGAAGGGCTGGGTCCCCGTGGTGGGTGGTGGAGGCCCCGTCCTGTCGGGGCTCCCCGGTGCCGTTGGCGGCGCCCGTCAGCCTCTCGGTGATGTAACGCTTCCCGCCGTCTGGGACGTGCAGGCGCCCTTGATGGTTGTGGTTTGGCTCAGCCGGGAAGCCCCCAGCTGTCCCCATCCACCCCCTCTGTGCGCTGTGACAGCTTGGAAGGTGATTTCCTTCTTCACAGCTGAGCTCCGAGTGCCCCTCACAGGTCCCGGCACAGCCCTCTCCGCAGGCCGGCCACCTCCTTCTCCCTCTCCCCTCTCCCCTCTCCCCTCTCCCTTCTCCCTTGTCCCCTCTCCCCTCTCTCCTGTCCCCTCTCCCCTGTCCCCTCTCCCCTCTCGCCTCTCCCCTCTCCCCTCTCCCCTCTCCCCTGTCCCCTGTCCCCTCTCCCCTGTCCCCTGTCCCCTGTCCCCTCTCCCTGTCCCCTCTCCCCTGTCCCCTCCCCCCTCCCCCCTGTCCCCTGTTCCCTCTCCCCTGTACCCTCTCCCCTGTCCCCTCCCCCCTCCCCCCGCCTCCCTCTCCCCTCTCCCCTCCCCCCCCCCCCCGCTTCCCTCTCCCCTCTCCCCTCCCCCCTCCCCCCTCTCCCCTCTCCCCTCTCCCCTGTCCCCTCCCCCCTCCCCCTCCCCCCTCCGCCCTCCCCCTTCCCCCCTCCCCCTCTCCCTCTCCCCTCCTCGGCGCCTCCTCTCTGGCTGAGCTGTCTCTCCTCACTGTGTGGTTTCGATGTCATTCCCAGAAGCGGGTCTGCTTCGTGGGGCGACCTTTTCCGAGAACAGACATCTGTCTTCGCCCCTGCCTCCCCACTCCCATCCCGTCCCCACCCACACCCCTCCATTACCCGCGGGGGCTCCTTTCGGGGTCAGGCAGCGGCTGGGAGAGGGGCCGGGACCCGCTCCTCCTTGGTGCCTGGGAGCGGTCCCCGGGCTGGAGCGGCCGTGCCCTGTGGGGGTGCCCTGCGGGGTGCCCTGCGGGGTGCCCTCCCCGGAGTGCCCTGTGGGGGTGCCCTGCGGGGTGCCCTCCCCGGAGTGCCCTGCGGAGTGCCCTGCGGGGGTGCCCTGCGGGGGTGCCCTCCCCGGAGTGCCCTCCCCGGGGTGCCCTGCGGGGTGCCCTGCGGGGTGCCCTCCCCGGGGTGCCCTGTGGGGGTGCCCTGTGGGGGTGCCCTGTGGGGGTGCCCTCCCCGGGGTGCCCTCCCCGGGGTGCCCTCCCCGGGGTGCCCTGTGGGGGTGCCCTCCCCGGGGTGCCCTGTGGGGGTGCCCTGCCGGGCAGAGTGCCCTCCCCGGGGTGCCCTCCCCGGGGTGCCCTGCGGGTGCCCTGCGGGTGCCCTGCCGGCGGAGTGAGCTCCGGGGCCCGGGCTGCCTCAGGTCCCGCCCCCCCGCAGACAGGGGTGACTCGGCCCCTGGAAACTCCGTGGTTCAGACCCTCCAGCCGCCCGCAGAGGAGTCTCTGGTCCCTCTGGGCAGAGACAGGTTCCCCCACCGCCCAGCCAGCAGGGAGGGCGTCAGCGCCCCCACTCGGTCCCCGGAGGGCAGGGGAGAGGGTGCAGGGGCAGAGACAGAGTGCAGGGGCAGAGACAGAGTGCAGGGGCAGGGGGCAGGGGCAGAGACAGAGGGCAGGGGCAGGGTGCAGGGTGCAGGGGCAGGGTGCAGGGGCAGAGACAGAGGGCAGGGGCAGGGGGCAGGGGCAGAGACAGAGGGCAGGGGCAGGGTGCAAGGTGCAGGGTCAGGGGGCAGGGGCAGCGGTCAGGGGCAGGGGGCAGGGGAAGGGGCAGGGGGCAGGGGCAGGGGCAGCGGGCAGGGGAAGGGGGCAGGGGCAGGGGCAGGGGCAGCGGGCAGGGGCAGGGGACAGGGGCAGGGGCAGCGGTCAGGGGCAGGGGGCAGGGGCAGGGGCAGGGGGCAGGGGCAGGGGGCAGGGGCAGGGGCAGGGGGCAGGGGCAGTGGGCAGTGGGCAGGGGGCAGGGGCAGGGGCAGGGGGCAGGGGCAGGGGGCAGGGGGCAGGGGCAGGGGCAGCGGGCAGGGGCAGGGGGGCAGGGGCAGGGGCAGGGGCAGCGGGCAGGGGCAGGGGACAGGGGCAGGGGCAGGGGCAGGGGGCAGGGGCAGGGGGCAGGGGCAGGGGGCAGGGGCAGGGGCAGGGGGCAGGGGCAGGGGCAGCGGGCAGGGGGCAGGGGCAGGGGCAGGGGGCAGGGGCAGGGGGCAGGGGGCAGGGGCAGCGGACAGGGGGCAGGGGCAGGGGGCACGGGCAGCGGGCAGGGGCAGGGGGGCAGGGGCAGGGGCATTCCCCACCAGCCAGGCCCTCCGGCTCCGCTCCTCCCCACAGCCGGGTTCCGGCGCCGCTCGCCCCCTGGCGGCCGCTCGGCGCACTGCACCGCCCGCCAGGCCTTGAGGCTGATGATGGACGTGGGTCTCCTCGCCTCGGACCAGGCACAGCTGCCAACACGGCGCCCACCGCTCGGGGCGAAGGGACTACGCTGGCTCCGGAGGCCGTTCCGCGGCTCAACAGACCAGCCAGTGCCCGCCCCGGCCTCGCTTCCCACGGACACCGACTGACCAGCCCCCCAGCCTCTCAGCCCCCCCAACCCCCCAGCCCTCATCCATCTAACCCCAGCCCCCAGCCCCCCAGCTCCCCCAGCTCCCCCAGCCCCCAGCCTCCCAGCCCCCAGTCCCCCAGCCCTCATCCATCTAACCCCAGCCCCCAGCCCCCCAGCCCCCCAGCTCCCCCAGCCCCCAGCCTCCCAGCCCCCAGCCCCCCAGCTCCCCCAGCCCCCAGCCTCCCAGCCCCCAGCCCCCCAGCTCCCCCAGCCCTCATCCATCCACCCCCAGCCCCCAGCTCCCCCAGCTCCCAGCCCCCCAGGTCCCAGCCCCCCAGCTCCCCCAGGCCCCAAACCCCGTGGGAGGGCTGTCAGCGGGGACTGAGTGTGTGTGACACCTGCTCCCCCCACTCCCCCCCACACACCACTGGGGAGGCGCTGCTGGGCCTGCAGAGGCCCCGAGCGGTGCTGGGGGGCAGCTGGGGGCGGTGGACTGGCTGCCCAGAGGGGGCTTCGGGGCCTTGCAGGCCCCCCCCCCCGGCCGCCCCCGTCTCCTCTCCCCCTGCCGGCTTGGGAGTCTCCCTCCCAACACCCTCCTCCTCCTCTCCCTCCTCCCTCTCCCCCTCCCTCTCTCCCCCAGGCCTGCCCCCTCCCCCAGGTCCCCTCCCTGCCCCAGGCCTGCCTCCTCCCCCAGGTCCCTCCCTCCCCTGGTGCCCCCCCCTCAAGTCCCCCAGGCCTGCCCCCTCCCTGCCCCTTCCCTCCCCCAGGCCTGCCCCTCCCTGCCCCAGGCCTGCCTCCTCCCCCAGGTCCCTCCATCCCCCTGGCGCCCCCCCCCAGTCCCCCAGGCCTGCCCCCTCCCTGCCCCTCCCTCCCCCAGGCCTGCCTCCTCCCCCAGGTCCCTCCCTCCCCTGACGCCCCCCCCTCACGTCCCCCAGGCCTGCCCCCTCCCTGCCCCTTCCCTCCCCCAGGCCTGCCCCTCCCTGCCCCAGGCCTGCCTCCTCCCCCAGGTCCCTCCCTCCCCCTGGCGCCCCCCCCCAGTCCCCCAGGCCTGCCCCCTCCCTGCCCCTCCCTCCCCCAGGCCTGCCCCTCCCTCCCCCAGGGCCTGCCCCCTCAGGACCGCTCACCACCCCTTGCAGCCCAGAGGCACAGGGGGCCTCGCACTGCAGGTGCCACCAGAGGGCGCTGTGCTCTGGTGCTGAGTTCGGAGCGTCCGCTGATGGGAAGACAGGACCGGCCTTTGGCTGGCACCCCTGGCCTCCAGGGAACCGCCACCCCCGGGTGAGGAGGCGGAGGCCGGGGAGGGGATGGCACCCGCCCGGCTCTCAGGGTTCACGGTCTGGCCACCCCGCTTTCCCCAGGTCCCCCGGACTCTGCCTCGCCTGCTGTGTGGCTTTTGGAATCGCCTGCCCTCTCTGGGCCGAGTCCCCACCTGTGAGGCGGGCTGGGCAGGCCCAGGCTGGACAGAGCGGTCCCAGCTCCAGAGTGGGGGGGGGGGGCTGTGGGGCTGCGCAGGAGGGACTTTGCTTCAGGCTTGGCCCCCCAGCACCCTCCAGCACCCCCCAGCACCCCCCAGCAGCCCCCAGCACCCCCCAGCAGCCAGCGGCCTTGTGTCTGGGGCCGGGGTCCGCCGGCGGGCGGCCGTGCCCGGGCCAGCAGGGGGCAGAGCCTCAGGGGAGCGTCCGGGGCTCTGCCAGCCCAGAGCCCACCGCCCTCCTGCCCAGGCTGCCCCCGGCCACCGGGTGTGTGTGTGTGTGTGTGTGTGTGTGTCTGTGTGTCTGGGTCCTGTGTGTCTGCGTGACCCCCCCCCAGGGCAGCCTGCCGTGCCCTCTCCCTCCGACCTCCCTGGGGCCAGGAGGTGGGGGCACACACACACACACACACACACACACACACGCGGGAAGAGGCGAGGGCCCCCCTCTCTCGGGCTCCGCCTCCTGGCAGCGGGGACCCCGCGGAGGGCGCGGGAGGCCAGGAGGGGGTGCGGTCCGGGTGCTGGCACCGGTGCGTTCCCACGCTCCGAGGCGCAGTCCTGGCACCGGAGCCCCGCCCCGCCCGCCCGCCCCGCCCCCGGGCCACAGATTCCTGTCTCCGTGGGCGAGGGCGAGGGCGAGGTGCTCCCGCCTTTGATCCTGCCAGCTCCCTGGAGGCCTCGCCAGCTGGGCCAAGGGCGGCTGGGGGAGCCCCTGAGGGGGACAGGGCCTGGCCCCGCACCCCACTCCCCTCCCCGAACCCCAGCTCCCGGGGCCTCCCTCTGCCGCCCCCCCCCCCCCCGCTTCCATCCCCGAACCCAGCTCCCGGGGCCTCCCTCTGCCCCCCCCCCCCCCGCTCCCATCCCCGAACCCCAGCTCCCGGGGCCTCCCTCTGCCCCCCGCTCCCCTCCCCGAACCCCAGCTCCCGGGGCCTCGCTCTGCCCCCCACTCCCATCCCCGAACCCCAGCTCCCGGGGCCTCCCTCTGCCCCCCGCTCCCCTCCCCGAACCCCAGTTCCCAGGGCCTCCCTCTGCCCCCTCCCCGAACCCCAGCTCCCGGGGCCTCCCTCTGCCTCTCACTCTCATCCCCGAACCCCAGCTCCCGGGGCCTCCTTCTTCTCCCCGCTCCCCTCCCGAACCCCA